TGGAAAACATGTGAAAAGAGACCACTTTAAAAGGATGGATTGTTCTTGTGGGATCACACGCCTCTGAAGTCTGCATTCCAGAAATATTACTTTGGCCAAGTTACATGCTGGGTGTTGGGGAGGCACAAAGCTGAAAAAGAGATAAGTACCTCTCAGGTTTAAGACAAAGCATGATCACCGTCCGATTAAAACTGAATGAACACACGTGGTAACTATCAGGAAGTTTGTATCCCCATCAGTCAGCTTCTCTCCATCAGTGGTTTCCATCAGAATTTAAGCCAGTGTTTTAGAGTAAGTCTGTTTCTAAGTGATCAGTGAGTATGTGTGTGTGTACCTACAAACCATATTGCTAAGGAAGACATAAAGCTATCAATAGAAAACAATAATGAACTTTTGCTAAGAAAATAAAATTAATATGTAGTGTTTATTTTTCAGTGAAGGTTCAATTACTAATTCTTAGAAACAAACCTTAATTATCCATACAAGCTTTATGACTCTGGGTCACATCTACAGAAGAGTTCCTTTTATAATTAAAAAAAAGTGGCAGCAGCTACAATATTGCAGAAAACATTTGTTTTTAAAAATCCCCATAACAGAACATTTAACACATGCTAATGTATGACAGGTTCAATGAGATATGAAATCCCTATAATATTTTTAAGGCATGTGACTTGGTACTCAGCTGTACATTTAATTACTGCATACTTCATTGCTTTGTACTGTACACCACTATGATATACATACAAATACCATTAAGCTGGGAGTAACCAACATGGAAACTTCCCTTAAAAATTCAACAGAAATTTGCAAATTTCAGAAAATTTATTTATGTCTTCTTATATACACCATGTCATTGCTGACAAAGTACCACCCTTTCCCATCACAGCAAAGATACAATAGTTATTGGCAGAAGACCAATAACTTCAGCACTAGAAAGGAGCCCTGCAGGAAATCAGGAAGTTGGGCATGATATGCCATTGCTTTACCACAAAGTCGGAAACCTGATCTCACAGATGGGATTCTGTGTCTCTGTGCAGCTGTCTGGGAGCTCAGTGAACATTCAGTTGCTGGAGACACTTTGTGGGTGATGCCGTCCACATAAAGAAATGGCAGTAGACTTTAGAGGTATACAATGTCCAAAGGACACCTCTCAGTGCCTAAGAGAGATGAAACTGAGTCATGTCTCATCTCCCTGACCAATATTGCTATAAGTTCAAACACTCCTAATAAAAGCGAGTAACTCTTTAAGAGTAGAGAACATATGAGACCATAGGACATTGAATTTTTTTTGATGCTTTGATCATGTTCCTGTGACACCCCCCACCCCCAGTCTGGAATATGTCCTTAGTCTCTTTTCTTTTGCAATACAAGGAAATTATGTTCCCTGCTCCTTCCCCTGGGCCTCTTATGTCAGTGTATTTTACACTGCTGTGATACCAAGCAAGCCAAACACATACTGATACAGTTTAAAATAAAACTTGTGACTATATGAAAGGCTTCTTATATAATGATTGTGTCATCTACTCAATTCACACCAGGTAGCCTAAAATAAAGGCAGTTAAGAAAACAGAGCTTGCGTTCACTACACCAGTTTGGTGTAGTGGTCAGGAGCGCAGGCTCTAATCTGGGAGAACTGGGTTTGTTTCCCCTCTCCTCCACATACAGCTGCTAGTGTGACCTTGGGTCAGTTACAAGTTCTTTCAGAGCTGTTCTCTCAAGGGCAATTCTCAAGAGAGCTCTCTCGACCCCATGGTACCTCACAGGGTGTCTGTTGTGGGGAGGGAAAGGGAAAGGAGATTGTAAACCACTCTGAGACTCCTTCGGGTAGTGAAGGGCAGGGTATAAATCTTCTTTTCTTCTCTTCCCAATTCAAATATTTAGAGCTGCCAACTATTTATTAGTAAATTTAATATTTTATAGTATCTTCCTCTGAGTGTATTGCTGAAGTAAAAAGAAAAAGTTACTGTGTTTCCTCCCCCACATCCAGAAGACAGTGAGATACATAGAATAGTTCTGCTTCTAGAATAAAGCACCAGAATTTTTCAGAGACACACTGTCTTTCTCCTTGTCATAGCTTTCTGTTAAGGATGTGGGTGAAAAATGTATAACTGCTAAGGCTTACTGGTATAGTATATGGGCTCTTCATATTGCCCATTTTCAGTATATAAAAGAGGATTAAAAAAAAAAGATTTAAAGATTAAAATTCCCATGGTTTTAGAGACAACTTTTTGATTGTGTGCTGGCAATATTTCCAGAGAGGTACTCATTGGTTATCCGGTGCTGCCTGTGCACATCCACTAATCTATTTGTTTGTACCACCAGTTGTAAACTGTTGTTTGCACATGACAAGTATCCCTTCTTGGACACAGTATTTATCTCCTAAATAAACACTTGGTACTTACAGAATCTTAAAGACGATTTATATAGTACAAAGACAACAATTGTTTTCTTTTTCATTCTATGCCAATAAAGGTTTTGACTGACTGACTACAAAGACAATAATATATGTCAAAATGTTAAACTTTACAATATGCTTCTTAATGAAAAAATGGTCTTCTGTTTTATTTCCATATGTAACACCTTCCCTCTGTTCCCCACAAGATTCTTTTTTGCCCTCATGTACTTGCAAAACAGAAGATGACTGTCACTTTTAAGGGGAAGGTACTGATGAGGATTAATCTTGCCCTCACACCAAGAATTTAAGAAGAGGTGGTAAATTCCTGAAGGCTATTATGCATTTATAGTCATGAAGATTATCACTGAAACAATTTCTGTTGCTTATTTTACTGTTCTATGCTTTTGAGTAATGGGCAATGTACTATAGCTAAAGGTCTATTTCAAATACACCAACATTTCTGGGGAATCAGGTATCAAAGGCCTTCATGCAATTTCATTATTTTATACATTTAAAAATGTTATTTCCAATCTAATTTATAATAATGTTCAGGGGTCATTTTTTTGGGGGGGGACGTGGGGGGACGCCATCCCCCTGGGTGAGGTGCGGGAGGGCGGGGCCTGGAGCTCCCTGCTGGTGCCCGCTGGAGGTCGCCGCCGGCTGTGGGGAGGACACACTTCCGGTGATGTCAGGGGGTGTGGCATATGCTAATGAGTTATGCTAATGAGTCCCCCCTAGCTCTTTTTCTACGAAATGACCCCTGATAATGTTTATAAATTACATTTACTATGAACACTGATACTTGGGGCACCATTGTTAATCTGTCTTAAAATCAGAGGTGTACTTTGCTTTTTAAGCATTTATTTGCTTAATTTCCTTGCAGAGTAGTAAGTGGGGCAATCTTATCATGAATAACCAGATAGTCTAATTAATATTGTCTCCTTCTATCCTGTCCTCTCCTTTGCCCAATCTGGTCTCAATCTGGTCTTTGCAAGGCAACCAGAGCGCTTTTCAGATTCCTCCACAATGGGATGCATCATTCAGTTCCAGCACATCCTCCTGCCTTCCCCTGGGATTATTATCTCTGAGGATGTGCATCAGAGCGACACAAGGCTTTTCTACTACAAGGGGCAAGGACACAGATCAATTTTGTAAAGCATTCTGGTATTATGCATGAGAGTGCTCAGAAATACAGTTAAGTAATCAGTGCATTTTATGTCATCAAAACTAGATTGTTTCTCGAAGTCTTTTTACAAATTGTGCCTAAACTGAAATTACAGGTGCTGAAGTGAACAGAAATACAATGAATACAAGGTTCTAAGTAAAACCTTCAATGCATTTCTTTATCTTTTGTATTCTTGAATACAGCACAACTTGCTTTGACCAGAAAAAGCTTGGGTTTAAGGAAAGGTTTTACTTTGGGATAATTCTCCAGACAAATAGCATTTATTTAAACAAAAACTGAATACTGTACTTCCCAGATAAACTCCTTTCAGTGGTTTCTAAAGACTGTTCCACTTTTGAAATGCAGAAGTGATGGAGACAGCTGACATTAGTGTAAAACAGACCAAGCAACATTATTTTACACAAATATTAGTGTCATTCTAGAACAGATGTTTCTCTATAATACTCTTACAGGGCCCCAAAATCATGAGCTTTCCTCTTGTAAACTATATTCATTAAAAACTTATCACAGCTTTAAAACCCTTTGCAAATCATGTCAGATCCTGATATATCCCATGTGTTAATACTATTGCAAAAAAGAATGCACCAGGCTTGCTTTAGTGTATTTTAATGGTATCCTGACACAAATGTGGGATCCTAACTACAAAGTGCCACTCTCATATAGCTTTCAGTTATTGCAAACAGAGCTTCCCTCTCTGGGTTCTCCCTTGTATAGGCACTTACTTTCACTGTTGACATGCAGGCATTGTGATTAACTATGGTATGCAACACAGGCATTTTCCTAACAACTACTTCGCTAGTGTTGATAATGACTGGTGATTTATTTAAGTTTTATAAAACAGGGTTTTTTTCTTGTCAAAGAGCAGTTATACAGGAAAAAATACTATCTACCATTGTCAGTATTTCAGATATAGTAAAAAAAAAATCACAAAATACAAGATTTCTTTGTAGATTAAGTAACCCATCTGAAAAAAATTTAACATCAGCATTGTAGTAAGGCACCTGCATTTTACAGCTGTTTAAATAAACAGCAAATATCTTCCAATATATATAGATTTTGAGTTTGTGTAAACAAGATTTACTCCTATTACTTCCTTTCATTTTAGGAGAAAAAAAAGAACATCTACATAGACCAAGATATGATCTTGGTGCTCAGATTTTTTTAAAGGTGTTACTGAGCCATGTACATATCAATCTAAAGGCCCATCAGTATCAGGACTCTGATGTTTGAAGAGATGTCAGTATTTGAACTATGTATCTTGGATAAAAGTTTAAGAGTAGTCACAGAACTTGATACTGTTTTACTAATGGCAGAAAGAGCATTATGTAAAACATTCATCCTCCCCGACCCACCCACAACAATAAATATAAAGACAGTTGTTTTGACATATTGCAACAGAGGAAATGTTCTAGCCTTGATCTGTAACATTTAATCAGTAGTTTTCATATTTCATTCCTCTCTGAGGATTCCATCTTCTACCTTGTCAGCTGTCCAACAACTTTTAAGAGTGTCTTATTTTCCTGCTTTAATTGCTCATTTTCATCTTCTATATCATCAAGGTCCTTTTAGAAGAAAACATAATTATTAGTTCATAGTATCAATATCTTGTTTTTAGATGCTTTGATTATAACCCTCTATGCTGAAAATATCACTCCTAGAGGACAATTGGAAATTGTGACCAACATCTCATTTCATGCTCAGAGAGGTGCTGGGGAAAATGCACTGTGAGCGTGGCTCTGTCAAGCTACAGCCATGTTCCATTGCCACCAGATACCTCTTTCAGTAGGAAATGGGGAATTGATACTGCATTGGCCTCTTGAGGAATCTCCCATTCCTGATGGACTTGAATGCCAATTGCCTGGCTGGTGATGGGCTCTTTAGACCACACTTTAAGACTCACTGGATGCCTGGCTATTCTAACACTTAATCCATACTAAGAGGGGAGATGTAGCACTTAATACTTTAAGACATTTTTCTATGCCACAACAGTTGATTACCAATAGACCATACATTCTTTCTAAATTAGTAGCTGGAGCTGGAGGATGGTAGTTTAACAATGCCTTCTGAGCCGTTTATCAGACTCAATTTTATTATATACCAAATGCCACATAAGAACTGACAGGAATGTAGGTGAACGTTGAAACAAGAAAATAGTAGAAACATGAGAAAATGCACAACCTGGGAACGAG